AACCGACTGAGCCACCCAGGCGCCCACAAGTTTTTATTTTGATGAAGTCCAATTGATCTATTTTTTTCTTTTATTGCTGTGCTTTTGGTGTCATAGCTAAGAAACCACTACTTAATCCAAAGTCACAAAGATTTACACCTATACTTTCTGCTAAGAGTTTTATAGTTTTATAGTTTTAGCTCTCACATTTAGGTATTTGATCCAGGAATTAATTTTTGTATATGGCGTGAGGTAGGGATCCAGTTTCATTCTCTTGCATTGGATATCCTGTTGTTCCAGAACCATTCATTGAAATGACGATTTTTTCACCATTGAATTGTCTTAGTGCCTTTATAAAAAAATCACCTGACTATAAAGGTGAGGGTTTATTTCTAGACACTTGTGAGGATACACGTGTTTGTATTTAGGACCCACCCAGATAATCCAGGACAGTCTTCCATCTCAAGATCCTTGAATTAATCATATTTGCAAAGGCTCTTTTTTAAAAATAAGGTCATATTTATAGGGTTTAGGACCTGATACATTGGGAGGGCCATTATTCAGCCTGTTACAGACAGTAACTCTAGGCTTCACTTTTTTAGGAACTGGCAAACTGTTTTCCAAAGCAGCTGTATATTTTACATTCCCACCAGCAATATATGAGAGTTTCAGGTTCTCCACATCCTTGCCAACACTTATTTTCATTATAGCCATCCTAGTGAGTGTGATTTGCATTTCACTAATGACTAATGATGTCGAGCATCTTTTTATTGATTATTGGCTGTGCTTCTTGGAGCCAGTTGATATTTGATCCATAGTGTTAATAGTATTTTCTGCATATAGCACCGAGTGATTAGTATGGAGGTTGATTCCGTTATTTGACATTTGCATTGTAATTAAGATATTATAAATTTTACTTTGGGACTATTTATGCTGTTGAATATATTCATAGGGTTATAGAAACATTTTCATGTCTCCTTGCGTATTAATTACCTCAGTGTGCTTCTGATTCTTTGGGGGTAGGTTTTAGTGCATAGAATGAAGTAAATTACATTAAATGTCCCATTAGTTAACTTTTTCCCCACAGTTCATGCTCTTTTTAAAAAAGAGTTTATTTTATTTTCTATTTTATTTTCGTTGAGAGATGTAATTTACATACCACACTGTGTAAGTTTAAGGTATACAACACTATCAGTTAACTTTCGAATGTCATCATTTATTCACTCTGTGTACCCAGCACTGGGTATGGCACTACCAGTTCAGTGGCTAAGAAACAGATGTGACCTCCGCCCTCTTGGCAGAGATAGTTATAAAATAAAGAATCGCAGAAATACACGTAATTACAAACTGCAGTAAGCCCTTTGAAGGAAAAGGTACAGACTGTTGGGTAAGTACAGGACCCCAAAGGGGGACGGAGCATGGCAATTTCCAGGGACATGAAAAAGGCCAGTGTTCCTGGAGCGGAGACAAAGAAGGACAGTGGCACTGGATAAGAGGAAAGGAGGGAGGTGGGGCTCGTGGTCCTGGTAAGGGCATTTGTCTTAGCTGAGAGTTGACGCTGTCAGATTTTCAGCAGAGGGATGACCTAAGTGGATGCACATTTCTGAAGGGCATCTCGGGCTTCAGTGTGAGGACTGTGATTGAGAGTGTGGAGAAGGGGAGGGGGGAGGCCAAAGGATTGTTGGCTTTTGTGCAGGCAAGAGTGATGGAAATTCAGTGTCAGCTGGAGGCCATGGAATCGAATGACTATGTGAGATCTTTAAGAAGTGGAATCTGGTTGATTTATGTGTGAAAGTAGGAAGGATGGGGGTGCTAAGGATGACTTCCAGGTCTGATCCTTCCACTGAGATCAGGTTCATGGTGTGAGGAGCTGTGTTGGATGGAATCTGTACATTCATGTTTAGAGATCAGAAAAGTCTGGGCTGAGGGGCGCCTGGGTGGCTCAGTCATTAAGTGTCTGCCTTCGGCTCAGGTCATGATCCCGGGGTCCTGGGATCGAGCCCCACATCGGGCTCCCTGCTCCGCGGGAAGCCTGCTTCTCCCTCTCCCACTCCCCCTGCTTGTGTTCCCTCTCTCGCTGTGTCTCTCTCTGTCAAATAAATAAAAAAAAAAATCTTTAAAAAAAAAAAAAGAGTCTGGGCTGTAGGTGCAATCTGGGAGATATCTGTGTGTCCCTGGCATTTAGGAGTCACACGACTGGGAGTATATAAGCTCTCCCTAGAGACAGGAGGACAGGGAAAGGGCCCTCACATCCTGACATCCTGGTCTGGCTCAGGTGAAACAGACCAAGGAGGAGCAGCCAGATGGGTCTGTATGCAGTCTGGAGAGCAGAGGGGTCAAGACAACTGAGGACTAGGATGGCTCCAGGCAGGTGGGCATGTTGAAGAACGGTTGAGCGGCTGCTGGATTTGCCCCCAAGGTCAGGGTCTTTGTTTCCATCTCTAGAACAGTGCTCAGCCACAGTTTTGTTAAATGAATGAATAAATTGGTGACCTTAGCTAGAGTTGCTTCAGGGCAGATGTACAAGCAGACTTCCTCGCGGAATAAAAGAATGTTTCCATTCAGATACCCTCTACTTGGTATGCAGTTCTTTATTTTATTAGTTTACATATGCATTTGATTTAGTGTGGTAGTAAGCATATTTTGGGTTTTCTAATTTTTATCCTTTGGTTGTTCTAAATTTGTGGATGCTGGAGAATCCATGAGCTATAAAACTTTGAGTTAGTGTCCTTTCTAAAGGAGGATCACTTTGAAAATAAGAGAGAGAGCTTCTGATAAATGGCTTATCCTTGCCTCAGAATTTGGTATATTTAGAAACACCAGTCTCTTGATTAGCTGGTTCCCTTTCCAACACGGCCCATCAGGAGAGTGCCTCTCAGGAGTGGACTTGGACTCTGGTGCACTGAGTGTTCCAGCCCCAGAGGGCTTCTGTGCTGGTTCTCCCTGTCCACTGTGGTCAGGCTCTTCCCTCCCTGTGGCCTGAATTCCCTGTGTGGCGTGGCCTCTCTCTCTTCCCCCGTTTCTGCTCATTCAGGGCTAGAACAGTAGATGGTTCACTGTGTAGTCTCTGAGGGGTCAAAAGAAGAAGCTGGATCTTCTGGTTCCTGCAGGACCAGGGCCTCTGAGGGGAAGACAGAAGGAGGCTGTCTGCGGTTTCTGAGACGTATTTGTGACGTATTTCTGTGGTATATGGTATTTAATTTTAGTAATATGTGAAATCTAATGCATGGAAAAGTGAAATCATTAATAGAATTGTGAGCCAGATAAGGTAAAAAGTAATAGGTTTAAAGTTTTTGTGATTATTTAAATGTCAGATTTTTAAAGTTTGATTTAGAGAAACATTTTTTTTTTTTTTTAATTCCCTGTATATTACTTCATATAGGTTCTGTGATGTTGCTGTCATTTGCTCTAAGATTCTGTTAATGTCATCAGGGTGAAAATTTTTTTTTTTTTTTAAAGATTTTTTATTTATTCATTTGACAGAGAGAGACACAGCTAGAGAGGGAACACAAGCAGGGGGAGTGAGAGAGGGAGAAGCAGGCTTCCTGCTGAGCAGGGAGCCCGATGCGGGGCTCGATCCCAGGACCCTGGGATCATGACCTGAGCCGAAGGCAGACGCTTTATGACTGAGCCACCCAGGTGCCCCCAGGGTGAAAATTTTAAATTGCTGTAAGATGGAGGAGATTGTATGTGTGATGAAATATTTTGACATAATTAAAGGACTTTACTGAGTAAATCATCACCTATGTTCCCACCACCCAAATATAAGTGGAAGATTTTAGAATTAAGGTCTTTTTGAACCACACATCATTTTTGCTATTGTACCTGAGCCAATCTAAAAAAACTGGCCCGGGTAAAATGAGAGGCTTTCCCATGATGTGCCCGTATCAATGCTGTCCAGTCTGAATGTCTCCATTGTTTCCCATCACACTGCAGGACCGTCCTGTCCCCAGGACCAAACTGCCATTGATCGGGCCTTCTCAGCCCAGTGGTGTGCTGAGACCCTTCATTTACTTCACTGATTGGGCGCTGTGGGCGCAGGGCCGCGGTCTCATTTTCCAGAGGGGTGTGAGGTGCTGGTCTTGTCTCAGACCTCCTCATGCTCTTTGATTTTGCCCTGCTTCCTTCTGGAAGAACCCAAGGGGCTCTTACTGTGTGTTTATGTTTTTAAAGATCTTTTAGAAAATGTGGCCTACATCATGTGATCATTTACTCAAGAAATTTTATAGTTATGATAGAAATTTACATAGTATCTGAGCTTTAGGATATAGACTTAAAATGTGTGAATAATCTTATGTTCTTCCTGCTTGTGCCTAAATTCAGACTTGTAGCTTCCTTTACAAGTAAGGACTCAGATCTAGCAGCTAAGAGTTCTGGATAAAATTAAGGGTAATCCAGAAATAAATCTGGAAAGCTTGAATGGAATCCATCTCTAACAAGCAAGTATTTTTTAGTATCTGAGGATGATATAAATATAAAATGCAAAACAAACTGAAATATATCCACAGCTACCCCCCCAACACACCCCAAATAAACTTAAACTTCAGACATTTGGCTTTGCCAAATAAGCCAGGTTAATTTGGAGTACACTGTTTTCTCCCTGGTCAGGCTGTTCCCTCCTGACCCCCTGCCATGGCGTCCTCCCCAGCTCTCCCAGGCTGTGGAGCAATTCTGCAACCCTAGGTGTCTCAAAGGGGTCTCCTACCCCACATCTGTAACTCTGGCTATCTGCTTTGCAGCCCCTTCCTCTGCTCATGGGGCCCAACCGGCCCCTCCTTCTGTTTTCTACCAGCGAATGATCTTGATTTCCTCAGTGCTGCCTACACAATACAGATCTTGTTGCCCACAGTACGAGCCCGAGTCTGGGACTGTTCTGCTCACAGGTTCTCATCTCCATGAGGGGCACTGCCTTCCACCTGTTTACCCCATCAGCTTCCTCATTGTCCCCTCAGTAGAGGATGGGTTCCTTGAGAATAGGGCTCCTGTGGTTCCTGTCGTAATTTCTTCACTGTTAAGCGGGAGACTTGACAGAATTTGAATGAGTTGCCTTCTGAAATTCTTTTGTCACCAGAGAATTGGCCTCTTCGTTCCCACTGTGCCGCCTTTGTTCCGGTCCAGCTGCTCTTCCTGCCGGCTGGTCCCCTGGCCCCAACCTCTACTGCCCCACTTCCTCTCACTGCCCCGGGTTCTAGGTGGCCCTCAGGAGTGAGCACTTCCCAAAAGGTCTCTGCTTTCCTTAAGATGCTAAACCTACTATTGTGAAGAGTCAGTGAAATAATACACAGAAAGGACTCAAAATAGTACCTGACACACTGTGACAGGTGAAGAAGCGTCATCACTAGTTATTATGCTCTGTTCCTTCTAAGATAGAGAGAGTTCCTTGGTATGATATCAAGGCTTGTGGAAAATATGATCCCAGTCTTTTTTTTTTCCCTGCAGTTTTGTAAAGCTTCGTTTGCCTCTACATTTTGCTTCCCTGAGTCCCCTTTTTCAGCCACTCTGAACTATTTGTTGGGTCAGTCACTTACTTTCTATGTCTCTTGGTCCACAGACTATTTTAAGAGTTAAAATATGGTACAGTAGTACATATTATAATTATATTCCATGTGATCTGGAAGCGAGCAAGTGTGGTTGGAGCCAATAAAGGGAAACTATTCTGCACTGATCACACTTTGCCAAGGATAGTATTCCCAATATCTTGATAGGGTTATTTATTTTTCTATATTTCTTTGCTTCTTCTAGATTATACCCACTATTTGTCCATTTTGGTTTCTATTTCTTTCTTTTTTTTTTTAATTTGACAGAGAGAGACATAGCGAGAGAGGGAACACAGCAGGGGGAGTGGGAGAGGGAGAAGCAGGCTTCCCACTGAGCAGGGAGCCAGATGCGGGGCTCGATCCCAGGACCCTGGGATCATGACCTGAGCTGAAGGCAGACGCTTAACGACTGAGCCTCCCAGGCACCCCCTCTATATTCTTTTTTAAAATTCTCTTATTTTATTATTATAACTCCTCAAGTAATTCTTCTTCTTATTCCTCTTTTTTTTTTTTTTTTTTTTGTAGAATTCTTTTTTTTTATATAGGGTGAATGGAAGGTAAAGTTTCTGAGTTTTTAAATTTTGGAAAATGTCCCTTTTTTGACTTCTTGTTTGATAGTTACAGAATTGAATATTTCCGCCTCCCTTGACCCCTGAACTTTGAAAACACTGGTGTACTAGTTTCTGGCTTTGTTAATACAGCATCTCTGATGCTTTATGTGTTGTAGTGAATGTTTTGCTCTTTCTCAGAGGTTTCCTCCTTTCTCCTTACTGTTGGGAGTGTCACCGGGATGCCTCTGGATGTGGGTCAGCCGTCATTGGTTATGTTTAGCACTTAGTGGGGCCTCTAAATCTTAGGCCCTTAGCCAGTCATTCTGATCAGGACTTGGACACCCCCCCACCCCCCCACCCCCGCTGGGCTCTAGGCGTGTGGGCGGGGCTCCCTTAGGAAGTCCAGCTCTTCTGTAGGCTTTAAGCTGAGGGTTCTTTAACAGTCCAACCCAGCAGCTTTTTCTCTTCTGGGTAATCCTCAAATTTCGGACTCCTGTGGGTGCCCTGTATTCGTTTTCCATGTTGGGTTTCATTCTCTTTGTTGTGGCTTTGGTTTTTGTTTGAATTTTTGGTCATTTCCGTAGGAATCTCAGAGAAAAAGTAGGCAGACCTGTATGCTCCCTTTGCAATCCTTAGCTGGAAACTAGGAACATTCCTGAACCCTTGAATTTGGGAGGAAAGTGTTAAAAACTCTCAGTATTGTAAAAATGTCACTTTTTGACTGCCTGTGTCTTTTGTTTTTTAAATATAGTATCCCAAAAATAAAATGTGGTAATAAAATTGGACAAAGTAGGTGGTAGAAATTTTGCAAAACTATGTTTGTTGAAACAAGCGATTGTGTCCTGGCAACCAAAATATTTCTCTCCTTGCCTGTACTTTTCCATTTGCAAACTCAGCCACCTAAAGTAGGGCTGTTTAGATTCTTAGAACTACTTGGCATGAATAAACCCTTTAATTGAGGAATTTGTTATGGCTTCTTACTTTTCATGAATTTTATTTAATTCTTCAGCTTTAGAGCCACTTTAGGAGTACTTTGATATAATGTTCATTTCAGGTTCAGAGCCACTGCTGAAAGAGCAACTGATTTTCTTGCTGATGTTTAAGTTAACCTATTTTGAACATGACATTTTTGTTTTATATCCCTCTTGATATTTTGACTAAATATTAGTGCCTTGTTCTCAAAACAATACCAGTGTGTGTGGTAAGGTTAAGGTATATAACATACTACCCCACTGAAGAGAAAAAAAACCCCAAGAGCAGTTTAAAAATAATTAAGCATATGTAATGTTTGTTACTTGTAAAAGTGTAGAAAGATAGCAAAATGGAAAAGAGTTTTAAAAAAGGTGCTTGAGTACATGCCTGTGGTGTATTTTACGTATGTGCAGTTTGTGCCAAACACATGGGGGTTAGGCCTGTGGAAGGATGGAGCCAGATCTCTTTTTTGCCCCTCTCTTCCTCTGCTGTGATCTTGACTGCTCAGTTCCCCAGGAATACCTCTCCCCTGCATAATTCCTTTTGGAGGAGGGGAGCAGGGACATTTCCAGGTATGCTTCACACACCTTTATTTATCAATTCTTCCAGCTCCTTTGGCTCTATCCAGATATTATAAATATTCATGATGACCCAGTCTACATTAGTAAACAATCAAGTAGTTTAAAAAAAACCCCATAAATACTATTTTTGAATTTTACTTTATCAGGTGAAAACAGAAGTTCAGAAAGCACTTTCTGAATTGTAACAATCATATTGGTTTATTTCTTATCCCCTTTCTTCACCCAGAAAAGGATTATAGCAGTCTTTGTGACAAGCAACCAATAGGAAGACTTCTCTTCAGGGAATTCTGTGATACACAACATGATCTAAAAGGATGCATTGAATTCCTGGATGCAGTGGTAAGCAATTTATCTCAGTGTTGAACTACCTAGTCTTGTGCTTTTGAAAATTAACAGACTAGATCTAAAAACTTAGGTCTCTCTAAGTTAAGTAGACCTTGGCAATAATGGTAAGAGCGGATAAACTAGTTTCTTGGTGTCATGCTACCTTGGTATGGAAATCCCTATATAATATTTCCCCTTATCTGCGGTCTTGCTTTCCGTGGTTTCAGTTACCTGCGGTCAGCTGGAGTCTGGAAGCAGATGATCCTCCTTCCAACAAATGGTCAGTGCGGGCACACTCAGAGGTACCGTGGGTCCGGGTCTAGACCTGGTAATGAAGCGAATGTTGCAATGAATCAAGTCAAATGAGTTTTTTTGTGTCCTATTGCATATAAAACTTATGTCTACACTATACTGTAATCTATTAACCGTACAATAACAGTAATCTAAAAAAAACACAACAATGTTCCCTCCTTAATTAAAAAATACTCTGTCGTTGGAAAATGCTAACCATACTCTGACCTTTCAGTGAGGCATCATCTTTTTTGCTGGTGGGGGTCCTGCCTGGATGTTGGTGGCTGCTGGCTGGTCAGGGTAGGGTTTGCTGAAGGTTGGGGTGTCTGTGGCAGTTTCTTAAAATAAGACAAGATAGAAGTTTGCAACATTGATTGACTCTTCCTTTCACTTGAACACTTAGATGTCATTATAGGTTTTTTTTAAAAAAAGATTGTATTTATGAGAGAGGGAGAGAGTGAGCGGGCGTGAGCATGATGGTGGGGAGGGGCAGAGGAAGAAGCAGACTCCGAGCTGAGCAGGGAGCCTGACGTGGGGCTCGATCCCAGGACCCTGGGATCACGACCTGAGCCGAAGGCAGACCTTCACCGACTGAGCCACCCAGGTGCCCCTAGAGGCCATCATAGGGTTATTCATTGGCCTAATTTCAATATTGTGTCTTGATGAATTGGGAGGCCCGAGGAGAGGGAGAGAAGGGAAAGGCTGGTCAGTGGAGCGGTCAGAACACACAGAATATTTATTATTTAAGTTCACTGCCATAGATAGTGTGGTTCCGGTAGCCCCAAAACAGTTACAAGGAACATCAAAAATCACTGATCACACATCACCAAAACGAACATAATAGTAATGAAAAGGTTTGAAATATTGGGAGAATTTCCAAATTATGACACAGAGACATGACATAAGCAAATGCTGTTGGAAGAAGGACGCCAATAGACTTGTTGGCCACAGTGTTGTTACAGACCTTCAATTTGTAAAGAAATGCATTGTCTGTGAAGTGCAAGAAAGCAGAGCACAATAAAACGAGGTATGCCTGTATTCTTTCAGAAAAACATTTGAGGCTCTTGCCTATCCTCCGTGGAGCTCCCCAGCCCTTTCCTTCCTGGTGTCTTTACTAGAATAAGACAAGGCTCTGAAAGGAGGTAATTTTTTTTAAGCTGGAACTCTGGTGTAGTGGGGCAGGCCTTGTCAGTTCCAGGAGTAGAATATAGATGTGGCTTAGTGTATTGGGTTACATTTGCCAAGCTGCTCTATTTTAAAAGTTTAGGGACCACAGTTCTTTATTTCAAAATGGCTAAACTGCATTGTTAACGTTCGTTCAGGTTTGGATCTTCTCATAGTGACACGAGACCTATTACTTGTTAGGTGACTGCCAGTTGACTTCAGTGACAGGTTCTGTTCTGTGTTTTGTTTTGTTTTTGACGGCAGCTGTGTGGGTTAATAAGTAACACCTAATTATGCCATTTGCACAGTCCTCGTTGCTTGGACTGTCCTTGTGGTATATGATTGCAGGTTCTTGGAGCTCTGGGAGTGGAGAGACTGCATCTTATCTATTTCCCTCATGGCACCTGACATGATTGTTTGCTCTTTTCTTTTTTAAGATTTTTTTTTTTTTTTTTTTTTGCGAGAGAGAGAATGAGAGACAGAGAGCACGAGAGGGAGGAGGGTCAGAGGGAGAAGCAGACTCCCCGCTGAGCAGGGAGCCCGATGTGGGACTCGATCCCGGGACTCCAGGATCATGACCTGAGCCGAAGGCAGTCGCTTAACCGACTGAGCCACCCAGGCGCCCTTGCTCTTTTCTGCTTAGTGTTTGTTGACTGAATTAATGGCATCTTTGGCAATTAGTGTTCAGTGAGAGAAACAACCAATAGGAGAGATTTATTAAGAGGTTTGTTGCAAGGAATTGGCTTACACAATCGTGAGGTCTGGTTAGGAGAGTCTTAAATCTATAGGACAGGAGGGAATCCTCCAAACATGGAGTGAAGCTGCTGTCCTCAGGCAGAATTCCTTCCGGAAGCCTCAGCTGTGGTTTTAATGCCTTTCAACTGATTGAATCAGACCCACCCAGATTCTCTAAAATAATCTCCTTTACTTAAAGTCAACTGGTAAAGACTTTAATCACACCTACAAATACCAGCACAGCAATGACTAGATTAGTATTTGAACTACTACTGGACATTATTCCTGCCAGGTTGGCACGTGGAAAGACCATCACAAAATCCCAGTGCTTTCTTTTCCATTGACTGCATGCCATCCAGCATCCAGAACGTAAGCTGGAAGGTTCTCTAAGTCAGCAGGGTCTAGTTACTAGTCCAGGTGAATACAGTGCCTTTGAACACAGAACACGAAGCTGGCTCTGACTGGTCGTCAGCCTGTCAGCCATGGCTCCTGTGCTGGGCCCACGGAGGAGGCAGAATCAAGTACGAGGTGCGACTCCTGCCAACAAGGACTTTACGTGTTCAGTACATGAACTTCCTTCAGTCTTGGTTTCCTCACCAATCTCTCCAAGCCCATCTGGCTGTTAGCTTCGCTGCTCTTCTCAGGCCCCGACCTGCAGGATCCAGTGGCTTCACTGAGGCCTCCTCGTGCCTGAGTCTCCAAGTCTGTTGACATTGTGGAGTACCTCTGCTTGAAATACTCTTAGCCAGGCTTTTATGATCTCTCCTCAGGTTTTCTCTCTTTTCAGTTTCTTCCTTGCTTATCCTTTGCAGAGGTTTAGATAATTGATCAAGTTCTGCCTTGACCCTTCCTCTGGTTTCTGGCCTACGTGGTGGTATCCTCTCTTACCGTCCCCCGCCTGACACCTGCGTAGGGACGTCTCCTGCTTTGGTGTTGCCAACTCTGACTTCTCTGGGAGCTCTGCGCTCAGGTTTGCCACGTGCCTCTTGGACATTTCTAAAATGCTGTTGCCTAGAGCAATGCAAGCTGTTTATTTGATTCTATTTTATTTGGCCACATTGAAGGGCTAAAGTGTAATATGACAGACAGAGCACTGTGGGACGTGTTGTGCTACTGCATTATTCACCCCTCAAAGAAAACTTTTTCCCCTTCATTGCCATTAGTTTTCCCAAAGAAGTGCTGCAGACGCTTGACCAATATCAAATCAGTTAGAGCTGCTCTGTGGTTCTCAGGGTACCCAGCCAGTTCTGGATGTCAGAGAATTCGAAACACCGTGAAGTCAGTGAAGAAGCTCCACTACTATTTTTCTTTGTTCTCCTCTCTACCGTCAGGCGGAATATGAAGTGGCCGCGGATGAGGACCGGAGAAACTGTGGACTGCAAATCTTAGACATGTTCTTCGGTGCCGAGGTGTGTTTTCTTCCTTAGGTGCAAAGATTTATTAATGCTTACTTAAATAATTAGAGGACATAGCCCTTCTCACTTAGTTGGATAACATATAGCAAGTATGTTAAAATCTTTAATTTCTTATAAATATTCCTCTTATGCATTTTCTTTTGAGTGGGTGAGGAAATTAACAAATCTCTTAGAAAATTAATTCAAAGAATTTAAAAGTTTCTATGTTTCCTCAAACAGAATACAGCATTAGAGAATTTTATTTATCTTGGACTGAAAATAACATTTTTTTACCTAACAGCTTTAATGGGTCTTAGGTTTTATGCTTTTTCATTCAGTAGATTCTTACAGTTTAGTATGTCCCTGAAATTAGAGCCGTAACCTGCTTCTCTTCACACGATTTCCCTTTTGTAGGCTGTTAGAAGTCCTAAACCCTGGGGGGCCCCTGTGTTGTAGGGTTGGAGGAGAACAGTCACAAGGATAGCTAACACTTAATGAATACCGCTCTAGGCCGTGTACATGTAATACAACAGTCCTATGAGGTGGGTACATTGGTAAGACTGAACATCAGAGCGGTTAAGTGGCTCACCAAAGGTTACACAGCTTGTTAAGTGCGAGAGCTAGGAATCAAACATGGAGAGACTGGGGTTGGAGAATAGTGTAGTGAGAATGAGTCCAAAATGTTCAGATTCTGAGCCCAGCTCACTGAAGATGGTAGGGCCATCAAGAAGGGGAAGCTCACTGGTGCAAAAGATAGAGTGTGGGGGCAGGGGGCGGGGAAGGCCAGTGGACTGGCAAGTGAGCACGAAGAGGCACACGCAACCAGTGGTGCCAGAGGTGTGCTTCGGACCAGATAGGTTTTGACTCTAAAGCCTGTGCTTGCCTTGGCCTCCAGCATCAGTACCATGGCTCCTAGATCATTCTTTTCCAGCACAGCCGCTACAGCATCCACATGTTTGTAGGCACCCCCAGTAATTGGGAAGATACCTAATTCCATTTTTTTTTAACTGAAATCACTGAATAGGTTTCTTTTTTTTATTTTTTATTTTATTTTTTTTAATTTGTTCAAGGAACCGGTGAAATCCTTCTTCTTTTTTCTTTTTTCTTTTTTTTAAAGATTTTATTTATTTATTTATTTGAGAGAAAGAGAGAGAGACAGAGAAACAGCATGAGAGGGGAGAGGGTCAGAGGGAGAAGCAGCCTCCCCGCTGAGCCGGGAGCCCGATGTGGGACTCGATCCCAGGACTCCGGGATCATGACCTGAGCCGAAGGCAGTTGCTTAACCAACTGAGCCACCCAGGCACCCATATTTTTTATTTTTTTGACAATAGAAATAAACCTTTCTTACCTTAAAAATAATTTTGACGTTGACATTATTTTATAACTGTATTCACAATAATTAGTCAAAACATGAAACATTGTTTTAATTTTCCCCATGAGTTTTTTTTTTTTTTTAAGTTTTAATTTTAATCACCCAGTGCCCATCACAACAAGTGCCCTTCTTAATCCCCATCACCTATTTCATCCATCCCCCCACCACCTCCCTCTGGTTAGTCTGTTCTCCATAGTTAAGGGTCTGTTTCTTGCATTGTCGCTCTCTTTTTTTCCCTTTGCTCATTTGTTTTGTTTCTTAAATTCCACATATGAATGAAATCATATGGTCTTTGTCTTTCTCTGACTAACTTATTTCGTTTAGCATTATACTCTCTAGATCCATCCGTGTTGTTGCAAATGGCAAGATTTCATTCTTTTTATGGCTGAATAGTATTCCATTGTATATATATATCACCTCTTCTTTATCCATTCATCAGTTGATGGACCCTTAGGCTGCTTCCATAGTTTGGCTATTGTAATTAATGCTGCAATAAACATAGGGGTGCATGTATCCCTTTGAATTAGTGTTCTCATATTCTTTGGGTGAATACCCAGTAGTGTGATTATTGGATCGTATGGTATTTCTATTTTTAATTTTTTGAGGAACCTCCATACTGTCTTCCACAGTGACCACACCAGTTTGCATTCCCACCAACAGTGCATGAGGGTTCCTTTTTCTCCACATCCTCACCAACGCTTATTCTTTCTTGTGTTGTTGATTTTAGCCATCTGACAGGTGTGAGGTGGTATCTCACTGTGGTTTTGATTTGCATTTCCCTGATGATGAGGGATGTTGAGCATCTTTTCATGTGTGTGTTGGCCATCTGTGTGTCTTCTTTGCAGAAATGTCTGTTCATGTCTTCTGCCTATTTCTAATCAGATGATTTGTCTCTTGGGGGTTGAGTTTTAGAAGTTCTTTATATATGTTGGATACTAAGTCTTTATTGTATGTGTCATTTGTAAATATCTTCTCCCATTCAGTAGGTTATCTTTTTGTTTTGTTGATTGTTTCCTTTGCTATGCAAAGATTTTATTTTGATGTAATCCCAAGACTTAATTTTTGCTTGTTTCCCTTGCCTCAGGAGACATATCTAGAAAAAAGTTGCTATAGCCTGTGTCAGAAAAATTATTGCCTGTGCTGTCTTCTGGGATTTTTATGGTTTCAGGCCTCACATTTAGGTCTTTAATCCATTTTGAGTTTATTTTTGTGTATGGTGTAAGAAAGTGGTCCAGTTTTCCTAACACCATTTGTCGAAGAGACCATCTTTTTCCCATTGCATATTCTTGCCTCCTTTGTCCAAGACTAATTGATTATAATATAATTGTGGGTTTTCTGTTCTGTTCTGTTGATTTGTGTGTCTGATTTTGCGCCAGTACCATACTGTTTTGATTACTTCAGCTTTGTATTATATCTTGAAATCTGGAATTGTGATACTTCCAGCTTTGTTTTTCTTTTTCCAAAATTGCTTTGGCTATTTGGGGTCTTTGTGGTTCCATATCAATTTTAAGATTATTTCTTCTAGTTCTGTGAAAAATGTTGTTGATATTTTGATAGGGAATGCATTAAATCTGTAGATTGCTTGCAGTAGTTTAGACATTTTAACAATATCTGTTCTTCCAATCCATGAGCATGGAATATCTTTCCATCTGTTTACATCGTCTTCAATTTCTTTTGTCAGTGTTTTAAAATTTTCAGAGTAGAGGCTTTTCACTTCCTTGGTTGAGCTTATTCCTAAGTATTTTATTATTTTTGGTATAATTATAAATGGGATTGTTTTCTTAATTTTTCTTTCTGCTGTTTCATTATTGGTGTATAGAAATTCAATTGGTTTCTATACATCGATTTTGTATACTGCAACCTTACTGAATTCATTTATCAGTTCTAGTAGTTTTTTGGTGGAGTCCTTAGGGTTTTCTATATATAGCATCATGTCATCTGCAAATAGTGAAAGTTTTACTTCTTCTTTACCAATCTGGGTGCCCTTTATTCCTTTTACTTGTCTGATTGCTGTGGCTAGGACTTCTAGTACTATGTTGAATAAAAGTGGTGAGAGTGGACATCCCTGTTTTGTTCCTAACTGCAGAGGAAGAGCTCTGTTTTTGCCCATTGGGGATGATGTTAGCTGTGAGTTTTTCATATGTGGCCTTTATTATGTTGAGGTGTGTTCTCTTTACCTACTTTGTTGAGGGTTTTTTTTTTTATCATGAATGGATGTTGTACTTTGTCAGATGCTTTTTCTGTGTCTGTTGAAATGATCATATGGTTTTTATCCTTTCTCTTGTTGATGTGATATATCATATTGATTGATTTGTGAATATTGAACTACCTTTGCAACCCAGGAATAAAGCCCACTTGATTGTGAATGATCGTGAATGATTTTTTTTTTTTCAATGTATTTTGGGGTTTGGTTAGCTAGTATTTTGTTGAAGATTTTTGCATTTGTGTTCATCAGAGATATTGGCTTGTAGTTCTCTTTTTTTGTGGTGTCTTTATCTGGTTTTGGTATCAGGGTAATGCTGGCCTCATAGAATGAATTTGGAAATTTTCCTTCCTTTTCCATTTTTTGGAATTGTTTGAAAGGAATAGATGTTAATTCTTCTTTAAATGTTTGGTAGAATTCACCTGTGAAACCATCTGGTCCTGAACTTTTGTTAGGAGTTTTTTTTTTTTTTAATTATTATTATTATTATGGATTCAATTTCTTTGCTGGTAATTGGTGTGTTCAGATTTTCTGTTTCTTCCTGTTTCAGTTTTGGTAGTTTATATGTTTCTAGGAATTTATCCATTTCTTCTACATTGTCCAATTTGTTGGCATAGTTTTTCGTAATATTCTCTTATAATTGTTTGTACTTCTGTGATGTTTGTTGGGATTTATCTTCTCTCATTTGTGATTTTATTTATTTGGATCCTTTATACAAATAAGAGGTTAATCAATTTTTTTTAAAGATTTTATTTATTTATTTGACAGAGAGAGAGAGAGCACAAGTAGGCAGAGTGGCAGGCAGAGGGAGAGGGAGAAGCAGGCTCTCCACTGAGCAGGGAGCCAGACGTGGGGCTCGATCCCAGGACCCAAGGATCATGATCTGAGCCAAAGGCAGCTGCTTGACCAACTGAGCCACCCAGGTGCCCCAAGAGGTTAATCAATTTTATTGATTTTTTTCAAAGAACCAGCTCGTGGTTTCATTGATCTGTTCTATTGGTTTTTTAGTTTCTATATCATTTATTTCTGCTCTAATATTTATTATTTCCTTCTTCCTGTTGGTTTTAGGTTTTTGTTGTTGTTGTTGTTCTTTTTCCAGCTCCCTTAGATGTAAGGTTAGGTTATTTATTTGAGATTTTTCTTGCTTTTTGAAGTAGGCCTGTATTGCTATAAACTTCCCTCTTATAGCCACTTTTGCTGCTTCCCAAAGGTTTTGAACTCTGGTGTTTTCATTTGCGTTTGTTTCCATGTGCTTTTTTATTTCATCTTTTATTTCCTGGTTGACCCATTCATTGTTTAGCAGCATGGTATTTAACCTCCTTGTATTTGTGGTCTTTCCAGATTTTTTCTTGTGGTTGACTTCTAGTTTCATAGTGTTGTGTCAGAAAAGATACACAGTATGACTTAGATCTTTTTAAGTTTGTTAAGGCTTGGTTTGTGGCCTAATATGTGATCTTTTCTGGAGAGTGTTCCATGTGCACTTGAAAAGAATGGGTATTCTGCTCTTTGAGGATGGAATGTTCTGAATATATCTGTTAAATTCATCTGGTCCAATGTGTCATTCAAAGCCAATGTTTCCTTGTTGATTTTCTGTTTAGATAATCTGTCCATTGATGTGAGTGGGGAGTTAAATTTCCCTAATATTATTGCATTATTATTGATTAGATCCTTTATGTTTGTTATTAACTGTTTTATGTATTTGGGTGCTTCCAGGTTGGATGCATAAATATTTACAATTGTTATATCTTCTTGTAGGATTGCCCCCTTTATTATTTATTATATAATGTCCTTCTTTGTTCTTATTATAGTCTTTGTTTTAAAGTCTGTTTTGTCTGATGTAAGTATTGCTACTCTGGCTTTCTTTTGACAGACATTTGCATGATAGATATTTCTCCATCCCCTCACTTTCAATCTGCTGATGTCTTTAGGTCTACAATGAGTCCCTTGTAGGCAGCATATAGATGGGGCTTCTTTTCTTATCCATTCTGACTCCCTGTGTCTTTTGATTGGAGCATTTAGTTCATTTACGTTCAAAGTAGTTATTGATAGATATGTATTTATTACCATTTTATTACTTGTTTTGTGGCTGTTTCTGAAGATTTTCTCTGATCCTTTCTTGTCTTTCTCTCTTTCATGATTTGTTGGTTTTCCTTAGTGATATATTTGAATTTATGTCTCTTTATTTTTTGCATATTTATTAGTGGTTTTTGATTTGTGGTTACCATTAGGTCGATACATAACATCTTCTGCATATAGCAGTCTATATTAAGTTGATGGTCGTTTAAGTTCATTACTCCTTTCCTTCCCACATTTTAGGTATATGGTGTAATATTTTACATCCTCTTATTTTGTGAGTTCCTTGACTATTTTTTACAGAAATATTCATTTTTACTGCTTTTGTATTACCTCTCTTCATACCGTCATTTTTGGTCTTTCCTTTTCACTCAAGGAGTCCCCTGTAATATTTCTTGCAGCTTTGATTTAGTGATGATGAGCTCCTTTAGTTTTGTTCGACTGGGAAACTCTTTATCTCTCCTTCTTTTTGATTTTTTAATAAGTATTTTATTTATTTATTTGAGAGAGAGAGAGAGTGTGCACAAGCCGAGGGGGTGGGGGTGGGGAGGGCAGAGGGAGAAGCAGACTCCCCACTGAGCAGGGAGCCTGACACAGACTCGATCCCAGGACCCTGAAATCATGACCTGAGCTGAAGGCAGACATAGTATAGATGGGAAAAAGCCTCACTTCTATTAGATCTTTTAATTGACACCTATTAATCATTATTAATTATAACAATATTGTTCATTTTTTTTAAATGTGAGTTTTCTATATTGTTGTATATTTCTATCACTAGTTCAACTTTGATGAAAGTGTTTCTTTGATTTGTAGAAAACACAGTTTTGCTGTGTTAACTCAGCTATACCACTGTCAGAAATCAGTTTAGATTGCATTCTCATGTCTAATGACAAATTAAATGTATAATTGAACATGATCTGGTTATCTTTTTCAATAAATCTGGACAGTAGTTTTGTTATGTGTTTTCTTTCTCCAGAATTCTCTAGTTGAGGGTTAAGAGAATGGGAAGTGGGCCCGTAGGGACATATTAGTCAGAGTGTAAAGTGGTAGAGCCTTTTGGAGGTCAGCTTTGCAATAAATATCAATGTTTAAGAGACGTGTATCCTTTGAGCTAGTAATCCTACTTCCAGGAATCTGTCTTATAAAAACACAGTTGTACAAAGATGTTCATGGCAGTGGTGTCTGCAGTGGAGAAAATGGGCAGCTAGAATGTGTAAGAAGGACAGATAAGCACATACTCTGGAAAACCATGCAGTCTTCAAGAAAATACGTTAGCTCTCTAGGTAGTGGCACATATTTATAAAACTACGGATGTATTTTTATCCCATTTGTGTGAGAAAAAATTGTTTATTTCTGAGGCTTTGTGTGCATGTGTATGTGTTTATATTTTTAATTATGGCAAAAAAGACATAAAATTGATCATCGTAACCCTTTCTAAGTGCACAGTTTGGTAGCATTACACATACTGACATTGGCGGGCAGCGTGTACCACCACCCATTTCCTGAACTTTCTTTATCCTGCGAATCTGAAACTCTGTCCTCATTAAACACAGCGCCCACTTTCCCCTCCCCCAGGCCCTAGGCAACCACCATTCCACGTTCCATCTTTAGTATTCTGACCATTTTGGGGACCTCACAGAAGTGGGATCATACAGTATTTGTCCTTTTGTGACGGGCTCATTTCACCGAGCACAATGTCCTCAAGGTTCATCCGTGTTGTAGCAGGTATCAGAACGTCCTTCCTCTTTGAAGCTGAGTCACATTCCCCGGCATGGATGGACCACAGTATTTATCCATTCGTCTGTCAGTGGACCCTTGGGTTGCTCCAGGCTTTTGGATATTGTGAATAATGCTGCTGTGGATATGGGTGTACAGATACCTCCCCAAAACCTTGCTTTTCGCTCTGATTTGATTTGCTTAGGAAAAGATCTGAAAAGGTGGACAACACAGTGAACTCTGGGAAATGATACCGGGGTGGCGGGTGAAGGTGGCACTTTGACTTATTTCATACACTTGATGTACTTTTTTCTTACAGTAAGCATTAGGTTCTGTTTACAGTTGGTAAATTATGAAATCACTAATTGTTATGCATTTGGTTTGTGCTGTATTAAAAAGTCAGCAGTCCCTTTACCAGAAATACCTTCCTGTGTTTTGAGAGAATGTCGGTTGAGACTGAAGCAGAACCCCGGCAAGGACGACTTTGAGGAATGCACCAGGTAAGCGGCCGGCACCACCCTGCACAGACGTGTGGTGGATGCCAGATGGGAGGCTTACAGGGGCTCTCTCTGCATGACACCAGCTCTCACTGCAGGACTTTCCAAATTAAAGTGGTCATTTTCCCTAGAAAGAGATACACGAAGGGTGATAATTATACAGACAGAAGGGACACCCTGAAATGGGTCACATCGTGGAGAGCCAGTGTATGCACATGGTTTTGCAGGCCCCTGGCCCCTCCGCTCAGCCTTCTGAAATGCGTGTGTCTGGGATGTAAGGATTCCCATAAAATGTTGTTTTTTTAAAGCCCTAGGAACTTGCTGAAAATACCTTTTCTCTAGGTATTTGCAGTACAGACAGGGAAATTCTAAGTGAAAGCACTTTGACTAAATCCGGCTCCTGATGTACACAGGGAGAAAGAATGGTTTCTGGACTGATCTGGCCCAGAACACGGAGTCCTCTGTCCAGTCATGCAGCATTCGGGTGTTGTTTATCCTAAGAGCCCTTCAACAGAGGCTAGTTGAGTGCTGGCTCTATGTCAGGTGCTGCGTCCGTTTCTTGGGGTGGCCATCACAAAGTTCCACAAACTTAGGTGGCATAAAACAGCAGGAATTTATTCCCTGGATGCCTGGGTGGCTCAGTTGGTGAAGCATCTGCCTCCGGCTCGGGTCGTGATCCCAGGGTCCTGGGATCGAGCCCCGTGTTGGGCTCCCTGCTCAATGGGGAGCCTGCTTCTCCCTCTCCCTCTGTCCCTCTCTTCCCTGCCACTTGTTCTCTCTCTCTCTTGCTCTCAAATAAATAAATAAAATCTTTTTTTTTTTTTAAAGATTTTATTTATTTATTTGACAGAGAGATAGACAGAAGAGCACAAGCAGAGGGAGTGGCAGAGGGAGAGGGAGAAGCAGGCTCTGCACCGAGCAGGGAACCCGACGCGGGACTCGATCATGACCCGAGCCGAAGGCAGACGCCCAACCATCTGAGCCACCCAGGCGCCCTAAATAAAATCTTAAAAAAACAGCAAGAGAAGTTTATTCTCACAGTTCTGAAAGCTGGGAGTCTGAAGTCAAGGTCTCTCAAGGACAGGATCCTTCCTCGTCTCTGCTTGTTTCTGGTGGAGGCCAGCGATCCCTGCTGTTTCTAGGCTTGCAGCTGCAGCATTTCAGTCTCTGCTGTCATTGTCCTCGTGTTCTCTCCTCTTCTTATAAGGGCACCAGTTCCATTGAATCAGGGCCCACCCTATTCTGGTATGACCGCATCTTAACTATTTATATCCGCAAAGACCAGGGTTAGAACTCAACATATCTGTATGGGGGAAGCATTTCAAGTCACAGTAATAGTTTGCCTCTTTGGGTTGAGGTTATGTTAGAGAGCAAAACAAAACACTGCTGACTTGAGTTTTCATTCCTACGTGACTTAAAAAAATATGAATTGCAGAGCTTTGGCTTATTAGTTATTTTTTTGGAAAATAGTTATTAAGCACCTATTTGTGCTGTCATTGATCTAGTTTCCAGGAATAAAATGATAAGCAGGAATGAGTTGGTTCTTTACTTCTAGGGAGCTGTATTAGTTTCCTATTGCAGCCATAACAAATTGCCACAAACTTGATGGCCTAAAACCACACGCATCTTTTTTTTTTAGTTCTGGAGGTCAGAAGTCTGAAAGCAATATCGCTGGGCAGAAATCAAGGTGTCCATAGGGCCTTGCTCCATTGAGGATCTAGGGGAGGATCCATTTTCTTGTTTTCTAGGAATGCATTACTTGGTTCATGGCCCCTTACTCCATGTTCAAAACCAGCCGTACAGCATCCCTCAAGTTTCTCTCTGCTTCTGTCTTTAGGAAACCTTTTCTTACTCTGTATGTGCACATCTCCTTCAGCCTCCCTCATACAACGACACGTGTGATGGCATTTAGGGCCCACCCAGATAATCCAGGATCATTTTGCCATCTCAGTCCCCTTAACTCAGTCATCTGCAAAGTCCATGTTGCCATGGAGGGTGACAGTCACAGGTTCCAGGGATTGGGTCATTCATTATTCAGCCTACCACAGGTGCTGAATAAATTGCCAGGGAGTGAGCGTTGAGGGTGCCTCTCCTAGCCTGGGGCCACGAGAAGAGTCTTCTCAGAGACCCTTCCCTGCAGGCTGAGGAGGAGGCCAGGGAGCACAGAGACCCGCAGGGGGAGGGGCTGGTCGAGGATTGCTGCTGCTTCACCCCAGGAGGGCTAGGGAGAGGGTCCTTGCGGCTCCCACTCCCTGGTCCTTGTTCCCAGGTGCCCTTTCTGTCACTTCCCAAGTGTTCACACGGGCGTCCTCACATGAACAACAGTGATAAACGCTTATGAATGCATTACTCCTCCTAGTAACCCATGAAGTGGGCACGACTGTTATCCTTACTGGAGGCCAGAGAGGTTTGGTAACCTGCCCCAGGCCCCTCTGCTTGAGGACAGAGCAGCCAGCTCCCTCACACGGGTGCGTTCCCCAAGAAGGGCAGTCATCAACCTGGTTTGCATGCAACTTTTGTGAAGATCCCACTTTTAAAACTGATCACGTTTGGTTCCATTTTCATTTTGCAGAAACTACTAGAAAAAAATCTGAGAATTAATTCCTAAGTAGTCACTTCAGATGTTGTGTTTTTCCTTTCTCAGATCCTTATGTTAACTTGTAGACACACAGAAGAGCGCTAGATCCCATTAGGCCCTAGTGGTGGCATCTCCTAGCGGTGACATCGGTGTGATGGGCACATCCACAGTGTGGGTGTAGACCTGTCTGGCACTGGCACCTCGGCTCAGCCCCTCTCCTGCTTACATTGGTGGGCACTGGCAACTGGAAGAACAAGGTTTTAGGCTAGTCGGTCACTCTGTGCCGCCCAAAGTATCCCTTTGTGATTTAGAATTACCAAAGAACTACATTTTGTTTCTGCGGTAAGTGTGTGGCTCACTGGTGTACAGATCAGCAACTGTGGAGTGGAGGGTATGTCCCCTGTGCTCTGAGACAGGGTGCTGGCAACCGGGCCGGCCCTGTGCTCAGTCGTTTCCGCGTGACTGTGCCTCAGGCCAGCGGCTGCCTCTTTCCTACGCAGCGCGCAGTAACGCTGCCCCATCCGTGTTTCCTGAGGATGACGGCGGTAGGGCAGAGCCTCAGTGACGCCACCGTGGGCGGAGGGTCTGGCCCAGCCCCCGTGGAGGACACCCTAGGGACAAAAGCAGGATGGAAGGCTCCACTGCAGCACTCCACAGCCTGGAGACAAAGAAGGGGACAGCCCCAGGCTGGAGACCGTCCCCTGTGCTGACACACTCGCAGACAGCAGAGCAGGACCTCCTCCAGGAGCAGTTTCAGGGGGGCAGGGCAGGCCACGTGTCATTGGCCTTTTCAAGGTCACTCCCAGAAGCACAGTGTCTCTGTCTGTCTGGCTGCTGTAACAGATGCCACAGACTGGGAGGCATCTGTCTCCCACGGCTCTGCAGGCTGGAAGCCCGTGGTCACGGTGCCACCGTGGTCCGGCTCTGGTGAGGCCCCTCTTCAGAGTTCTGTGGCCTCACGTGGCAGGAAGGGCCAGGTTGCTCTCTGGGGTCTCTTTCATAAGAGCACGAAACCAAATCCGTTCAGGGAGGCTGCACCCTCCAAAAACCGTCACCTCGGGGATTAGGTTTCAACATAGGAGTTTTGGCGGGACACACATTCAGTCCATAGCATACATCATCATGACTATCCCTTCCAAAAACCAAGCACCCATGTGCCAGGGAATAGCCACACCTCCACTTTGACCTGCGGAGAAAAGTACACATTGTGAGGAGCAAAGACCCACCTCTGCATGCCCCTGAGGTTGTGCGGGGAAAGTCACACTGCTTAGCAGGCCTGGTCCGGGCCGCGGGGGAGAAGGGTCCTTTCACGCCTGTGGGTCCACGCTGCGTGTTCGCACCATGGCTTCCTGTGCTTTGTCACTGGGAACCAGCTTTCTAGTGGGGACAGCATTTCACTTCCCTAGCACTTGCCAGCTGGTTTCCTGATTTCTCTTTTTACCTCTAGGCCTCTTTCCTTTTTCTATGGTTACCATGTGTTCCCCCATTCCAGCCTTAGGGTTCTTCATTGATACATCTCTTCACTAATTTGTTCATATTTTTAACCCTCTGATGAGGCACTTTTCCAATTCCGTCCTGTTGTTGACGAATGGGGTGGTGTACACGACCATATCAGACTGGCCACAGGTCTGCCTCCTTCTCTGTGTATCCGCTTCGAGATACCGACTTAAAAGTCTCTCATATTTAAATAAGTTTTAGTACTCAGTCCTCTGTCTGTTTGGGTTAGTTTCACTTGACTGGTGGTGGTTTATTCCTTACATTCTTACTAAGTGCCTGTCGTTTGCCAGCAGCTGGGCCAGGCACTGGCTAACGGGGGACCTCAGCACGATGCGGTGCAGAAATGAGGACTTTCAGAATTCCCTACTATTCTGGCTCATTTCTGTATTGCTGCAACCTTCATTGCCCCGAAAGCCTTCCTTCTCATTTTGGATTCCAGAGTACTGATGCTGCATAATGAACATAAATGTTTCCTTTAGGGCGCCTGGGTGGCTCAGTCGGTTGGGCGTCTGCCTTCAGCTCAGGTCATGATCCCGGAGTCCCGGGATCAAATCCCGCATCGGGCTCCCAGCTCGGCGGGGAGTCTGCTTCTCCCTCTGACCCTCTCCCCTCTTATGCTCTCTCTCACGCTCTCGCTCAAATAAATAAGTAAAATCTTTAAAAAGAAATAAATGTTTCCTTTAGGCTCCCCGCTGTTTTCTGTAAGAAGCTGTAGTGAGAGGCAAGCATAGTGTGATGGTTGGTGGGGAGCCCCAGGATGGATATATTAAAAACCAATGTGGAACTGATACACAGTTTTAAATATCATAACTTTGAAAAAAATGTGTGCAGTGGGAGAGGGGGGCGCCTGGGTGGCTCAGTTGGTTAAGCATCCTACTCTTGGTTTCTGTTCAGGTCAGGATCTCAGTTGTGGGATCAAATCCCGCATTGGGTTCTGTTCTCAGTGCTGAGTCTTCTTGTCCCCACCCTCCCAAATAAATAAATAAATAAAATCTTTAAAAAAAGGTGTGTGCAGTAGGTTTATTTCTCAGATTAGAGCAGCGGGGCAGAGTCTGTTGTTTTTGAGGTAAGGAGTATTAGGAAGTGAAATTGAGAAGCACTGGTAAGTTGATTGTAGTCATCAGCATATTAATTTATACAGACTGAAATATACAATTATATTAGAATAAGTTGATAGTGTGTGGTTCTTCTCATGGAAATACACAAACACGTCTACAAAGATGATTTAACTAAGCCGACAGTATCAGAATCCTTGCCCTGGTCCACAGAGGTTTGGAGTTGGGCTGCCCACGTGCTTAGGAGGGAAAGGTGTTCCTAGAGGCAGGCAGCAGGCCCTCCCTCTCGCTCCACTAGGACAGGAGGAGGTGGTCTAGGTAGCCAGCCTCCAGAACAGTGCTCAGGTCTCAGATTATACGTAGCAGCCATGTCAGACCCTCTGATGTCTGGACATCTTCCAATGTCTATTACACTCTTAAAAATGATTGAGGACCCAAACAGCTTTTGTGTATGTGGCTTACATTTTTAAAAAGAAGAAGACATAAACATTCCACTTGCCATCAGAGCAATGATGTCACATGTCTTGTGCTTCTGGAAAACCCCTCTGTGAAAATGAGGTTTTTAGTTTTTAAAAGGCACATGATGTCTCAGCGTTATTACAAATATAGTTTCATTGTTAAACACCCCCCTGAAAGGGTCTCAGAATCCATAGGGATCCTCAGAACACATTTTGAGAATCGCTGTGCTATAATATTAGTTAGTCCGAGAACTTGTGAATAACCTCCTTTTACAAAATAAAGTGAAATCAAGTGGCTTGCTCGGCATTCTTACAATCAGTGAAAATGCTAGAATTGTTCCCGAAGCCTCTTGAATTACTGGTCTACTAGCAATTCCCCAAGGAAACTATGATCTTTTCCCATTTGGGTTTTTGTCCATGCTTGGGAGACGCTTTCCTTCTTCCTTCATCTGGATGACTTCTACTTCAACTCAGACACCAACTTCACCTTCATATTTTTACTGATAACATTAGAAACAAGTGTGGAATTCTATAATTGCAAATTTTAATATATTTAATTGTGTAAAATGATTGACTTCCCATACCCAGTGTTGATGAATGTGCTGAAACATAGTTGTTTTCATATTGTAATGCAACAAACGTATATAATTACGTAAAATCTTTTTCTAGAATTATCCATAACTATTTAAGTGGAGAACCATTTGGAGAATACCAAGAAAGCCCATATTTTTCTCGATTTCTACAGTGGAAATGGCTGGAAAGGTATGTTCTAATTTAAAATTCAAAAACAAGTAGTAACTTCTCAGAATGTGTACTGATTGATGTATACTTTTCCATCTGTCAAAATAATATTGGAAATCTTGGGCTGGATACGGTACTGCTGTACAGAAACTATTAATATGTGTTATGTAATTTCTTCAGCCTTGTGAGCACAGTAGTTAGAAAATAAAACATATCCTAGATTCACAGAAATATAATCCGATGTGCACTGGTTCAGTCTTGTGGTACTAGCCACGTGGACTCAGTCAAGGGACTTGGCCTTTGTGAGCATCAGGTCCCTGTTTTTGAAAATAGACGTCATTCTAGAATGCACCCTACTGGGCTGCTGGACTGCCCTGAGGATTGTGTATAGCTTGGTGTACAAAGTAAGTGCTCAGTAAGTGTGGTTGTTACAATGGTTATTGATTGATTAGACTTCCAGTTCTACTTCATGCACGTTTCTTTTGAGATGTTGAGTATAAACACCTCTTTGAGGTTCTTTTTCCACAGGGTGGTGCACTGTAGATATGTCATTTTCCTCCGCAGCTTTCCAATAGGCCCAGTACATACATATGTCGTGATGTGAACTAGTTGCTGACCTTCCTTCAGTTAGTAAGGATAATTGGACAGTTCTAGATCTATCTTCATTGTTTTCAATAATTCTTAATGTTAACATGCACTTATATCTCTTAGCGTAATGGAAGTCGTCCCACCAGAGGGAGCCACGGTCCCTGAGCATGGGCACTCTTGCCCCGGGCATTCCCTTTGAATAGTGCAGTGTCATAAATAAGGCCAGGACGGGAGCTAGGTAGGATTTTTCTGCTTTAAAATAACAATGTGATGTGACACTTGAAGCTTTTTTTTTTTTTTAATTAATTAGGCAACCAGTGACAAAGAACACATTTAGGCATTACAGAGTTCTAGGAAAAGGCGGATTTGGTGAGGTAAGTAATACGTGACTAGAAAAGTAAGACAGCATGGTACTTGAGAGACATGATGTGTCAACTTTACCAATACCTTTATTTCTCTACTGTGTATTTTGGGAATGATTTAGCCAACCGCAAGAATTAAGATTGAACAAACAAAAGGTACTTTGCTACCTGCTTTTAAAAGATTCGGAGATCTTGGGTGCCTCGGTGGCTCAGTTGGTTAAGCAGCTGCCTTCGGCTCGGGTCATGATCCTGGAGTCCCGGGATCGAGTCCCGCATCGGGCTCCCTGCTCAGCAGGGAGTCTGCTTCTCCCTCTGACCCTCCCGACCCTCCCCCCTCTCATGCTCTCACTCTGTCTCTCTCTCTCAAATAAATAAATAAAATCTTTAAAAAAAAAAAAAATTCGGAGATCTGGAAAGAAAAAATTCACTATCTTCATGATTTTTTTCTTTCACTTTATGTTTCTTACAGAAGTTGTTTCCCGCATTCAGTTATTCAACATTCAGTCTCAGTTTGTCCTGATGGAAAAGATGATTGTTTCCATATTGTTGAATTTCTGTTACTCTATTTCCTTAATTTAAGACTAGCTTAAAAGCTCATATAGTGCAGAGTATATTATTAAATGTGCCTATTTATCTCAACTCTGTGTGGACATGTATGTGCTCCACACCTATATCAAAAGATACTAGAAAATGTGTAAATTTGGGAAAATCCTAAGGACACTACCCACAAATCCATGAGAGATGGTCTTTGAACATGATGGCTCTCCTAGAGAGAGACTATTGTGTGGGGTGGACCAAGAATCACATGTCGTTCTGGTTAGGTCATTTAAAGAGGTGTTAGTTGCCTCATTGATTGTCTGGAGGGGTCAGGTTCAGTTTTAGCATTTATAACTCCCCAGAGCCAGCGCCGGGACAGCCACAGAGAACCGAAGCTGCACGTGTAGTCAGAAGCAAGTGAAATTGCCCGCATGTGATCAAAATCACCCATGCTCCCAAATTCCCATGGAAAGCCTAAACCAAAGCCACCAGAGTTCCCTTAATGTGGATTAGGAAGCCGACCTAAGAGGCCTTGTCCCACAAGTGAGGCCTCTCCTACCTCTGTGCTTGGGTGAGGGAGACATCGGCCCACGTCGCCATCATCTCAGAACCAGCAATGTTCTGCCCGACACAGTCCTGGAAACCTGTTAGAGTATTTCCAGTGATCCAACCAAATGCTGTTGCAACCCTTCCAGGATAGAGATTTCTGTAAGAAATCCACCCTCTGTTTGAATACCTCCTCCTCAAGCGGGAAAGTAATTCGCTCTCTTTAATTCGTGCTACTCTGCCTTTCATGATGTCCAAGTATAAAACTCAGATTCTGTCCAAGAACAGAGGATGTTTCCAGCTCTTGTGTTTACAAAAGAATGTAGTTCTAGTTATAGCCACATGGAGGTTCTAGAAATGGACCCAGGAGTAACGTGTTAGCGAATTTTAACTGTTGTGAAAGACTTGGTATATTTATATTGATAGATTATTTTTTAACACATTTACTTGTGTTTCCACACAAAAGATTGTACAGATGGATAAAGTGTTCTGGTTTTTCACGGACCTGTTCTGGATGGGTTATTTGTTACCTCGCGTCTGTGGTGGAGCGGAACAGTCCATTTCCACTGTGCATCCCTGTCAGACGGAACCCTGTGACCCTAATGCGGACAGCCTCAGTGCCTTTTAAATCCAAATTCCAGGAGTGGATTTACTTTTTCCAAATGCTAACACCTCTTCTGGTGGTTTTGCAAGGGCAGACATTTTGGTCTTATTTTGTTGACCGCAGTGCTTTCACTTAGGCTTCAAGTCCTCCGGAAGAGATTTGTGGGGTCCTGCGGTGGCACCGAGGAGAGAGGACCGGTGGCATCTCTGTGTGCCTGGCTGTAGAGATAGCACAGTGCTGTGGAGGGGGTCGGCGGCGCAGCTGGCCTTGCTTCCGCGGTGGACCTCGGCTTCATCCCATCCTCTTCACGACAGGGAGACGATCCCTGCTTCCCTGGGTGGTTGCGAGCAGCAGAGGAATGTTCGTGTTCAGCTGAGAGTGCAGAGTCTGGCTCCCTCGCCTCTTCTCCCTTCTCTTTCTTCGACTTGGCAATTCCACTTAGGAGAATTTGTCTTAAGTTAACGGTAAAGAGATATGCCAAGATTTATGTGCTGAGACCTAATGGTAGGAAAATGACTAAAGAAATTTTGGAGTAGTCAGATATTGGGAGAACATAGAGTGATAAGGAAACAGTCGCACTGGAAGATGAAAACAGGAGATTATAAAATATTATCTATTCTATAATAGAAGGTGAGGTTCCCCACCCAAAATTCGGGAGGACTCAGAAGCCCTATACAGTTATCTTGGGATTTCAGTGAGTTTTATCATTGTCCTTACTAATACTTTCAGTATTTTCCACAATGAACTCTATATTTTCTCATCAAAGTCATGTTATTGATGGATTAAAGTGATATCATGTCTTATGTTTGCTTATAAGGCAACCGTGTCTGTGTATGTGTGGTATATGTGCATGTGTTATGTGTGTGGGGCGTGTGCGTGCCTGTGGCGAGCAGTAAGTGTGTGGGGAGTGTGTGCGTGGTATGAAGGGTGTGCGTGTGTGTGTGTGTGCGCGCGCGCGTGCGTAGTGGACGGGAGTCAGAGGACACAAGTAGCCCCGTGCCGATAGCCCAGAAGCTGTGGGATGGGTCCTTGGGAGCTCGTTATAGCCCCGTCTCCACTTCTGTGATTTTGGAAATTTTTTCCTAGTGGGAAGGTAAGTAATGTATCAATAGTATTTTAACAACTAAGTAGAATAAATGCATGAGAGTTTATGAACTCTATGCAATATCTTTTCTTATATTCTTAAACTTTTTTTTTTTTTTTAAAGATTTTATTTATTTATTTGAGAGAGAGCACATGAGAGGGGGGAGGGCCAGAGGGAGAAGCAGACTCCCTGCCGAGCAGGGAGCCCGATGCGGGACTCGATCCAGGGACTCCAGGATCATGACCTGAGCTGAAGGCAGTCGCTTAACCAACTGAGCCACCCAGGCGCCCTATTCTTAAACTTCTAAAAGAAAGCGGAATCAGTTTACTTTCAAACACTGTGGCCCTTGTGCAAGGACTGAAAGACCCAGGGAGACCCTGGCCGACCCGACGTGCTATGATGCCCTGTGGGCAGATGCGCCGCGGCTCTGGCTGGGAGAGCGAGGGCCCCCCCCACCCCCGCCAGCCGCCAGCCCCTCCCTGCTGTTCACCAGAGGGGCTGATCATGGAGGAAATGGGGCTTGGTTGCTGGTGGTGGTGGTGGTAGGGGCGGCGGCCTAAGAGGTGGCAGGTGTGTAGAAACCTTTCTTTCCCCTTTTTTAAACTAGGTTTGTGCCTGTCAAGTGCGAGCTACAGGAAAGATGTATGCGTGTAAGAAGCTAGAGAAAAAAAGAATAAAGAAGAGGAAAGGTGAAGCCATGGCTCTCAACGAAAAGAGAATCCTAGAAAAAGTGCATAGCAGATTTGTAGTGAGTATCTGGGTTTAGTTCTCGCTGTGGATGGCGCGGTGAGGACCCCTTTCCTGGGCATACCTGCTGCTGGGCCCACCTGCACTGCTGCGTCGGCTGGCGGCGGGGCCAGGGGCCAGGGACAGCCTGGTCCTGCTGGTGGCCTCTGCTTCCCTATCCCCTTCTTACTGAACACACACACAAAGCAGTGGTGATCCCATCCCCCGGGGCCTGGTCTGTGGGCTCCTCCTCACACCCAGCAGCGGGCTGTTACCGGTCAGGGCCCTGCCCTCTCCTGGGCAGCCAGTGCTCATCCTGGGCCGTGGGGCCACTGCCTCCTGAGCTTGAAGGCACTGCCCCAAGTCCTCCTCTCTGCGAGGCCGCAGTCTGACACCTGGCCAATGTACTGCTGGGCTCCCGGCTAGCATTCTCCAATCGTATGAAGCCTTAAATCCCACCTTCACTGTGTCAGGCAAGGGTTGGGCAAATGGGGCTTAGGTGACCCTCCTAGGCCCTGTGTTGTGCATGAGGTGCTGTGGCGTTCATCCCCAAACCTAACTTCTCTCCCCCCCTTCATATCTCCTGGAGCATCTGTGGCAACAGGAGGGTCTATGTAAGGGGGAGAGAGAAAGATAACTTAGGACAGAATTTGTGGTGTTAGGCTTACTTCCTCCAAGTCACTTCTGTCTCAGGACTGAGGTTCGCTGCTTTGTGCTAGGGGACAAACTTTGCAAATAGTGGCCTGCACAGCCATCCTCTACCTTTACCTCTGTGTGTGACAGGTCTCTCCTCGTACATTCCACAAAAATCTTTAATAAAACTGGCTCATCATGGAGTTGTTTTAAATATGTTTGTGTAACTACCTTGAAACACAGAAGTCCATAATCTAGCTTTATGAAAGGGACATAAATAATACCTATGGTTTATTCTATTTAAATGAAATATTTTTGTTTCTGTATTCTTGGCCTCTCCCAAGGAACCTAGACATATTTTCCTTCATCCTTTTCTTTTCTAATTGAAGTATAATTGATATGACAATATCCTGTTAGTTTCAAGTGTACATCATAGTGATTCCATATTTTTATGCATTATGAAATGATCCCTGTGATAAGTCTAGTTACCATCTATCACCACACTTACTCCATCCAGTATTATCAACTATGTTCCCTATGCTATACATTACATCTCCTTGACTTATCTGTTTCATAATTAGAAGTTTGTTTATTTAAGTAATCTCTATACCCAATGTGGGGCTTGAACTCACGACCCTGAGATCAAGTTGCATGCTCTTGCAAATGAGCCAGCCAGGCGCCCTGAAGCCTCTTTTTTTTTTTTTTTTAAAGA